TGAGCCGAGATTGTGCCATTGCATTCCAGCCTGAGCAACAAGAACGAAACTGCATCTCAAAAAAGAAAAGATTTCAGACACCAAAGAGGACTATTTTAATCATCAGGGGCTAATGAAGAAAACAAACAAACAAGCAACAAACATAAGCAGACACAAGTGAAACAATAAATTCAAACCAAGAGAAGATCACCTCAGGAGGGAATGCTGTAAGGCACAAAGGCTTCATAGTAGTTTAAAGAGAAAGGGTGTGAGAAAATTGAGTCATCACACAATACGTGGTGGCACAGGCATGTTAAACTCAAAAGAACTGAGCTATAACAGTCAGTAGCATAGTCACACTGTAAAGTGACTAGGTTTCAGCAAAACATCATTATTTGTCACACTGAATTTACATGGTTAATCTAAATTTTACTCATGTTATTAGTATTTAAAGTTTGTCTTAGCATTTGGTTAAGTGTTCTAAGTATATATATTTGCATATACTTAAGTAAACCACAGATTTAAGGCAACACTGGCAATCTTAGGGAATATTTTTCCTTTAAAAAGGGTCTGTGAGGCCGGGCACGGTGGCTCAAGCCTGTAATCCCAGCACTTTGGGAGGCCGAGGCGGGTGGATCACGAGATCAAGAGATCGAGACCAACCTGGTCGACATGGTGAAACCCCGTCTCTACTAAAAATACAAAAAATTAGCTGGGCATGGTGGTGTGTGCCTGTAATCCCAGCTACTCAGGGGGCTGAGGCAGGAGAATTGCCTGAACTCAGGAGGCGGAGGTTGCGGTGAGCCGAGATTGCACCATTGCACTCCAGCCTGGGTAATAAGAGCGAAACTCCGTCTCAAAAAAAAAAAAAAAAAAAAAAACCAAAAAAAAAAAAGGGTCTGTGTATTACTAAAGTTTGCAGACCACTACATTACATAAATAATTTTACAACTGTAGCATGATTTGCTAAATTCCCACTTTCCAAGGGACACTGAGTAGTTTCCAATTTGGAACTATAAATGCCTGTAATAAACATCAAAGTGTTTGCATAAAGCTTTGTCAGAATTTTGCATAATCTCCTCAGGTATTACTGAGTTATAGGGTATAAATGCATTTTGAAGCTTCTTGAAGGATGGTGCCACATTACATAAGAATACTGGTCTCCTATACCATGGCTGGTATTAAGCATTGTCCTTTGTTTTCACATTTTCTGTGATGTGATAGGAAACAAACTGTATCTGACTATTGCTTTAATGTGCATTTCTTCAGTAACACTAAATTATTTGTATGTGTTTAGAGACTATTTGAATGTCTTCTTGAACTGTTTGTGACACTTGTCTATTTTTCCCGTTTAGGTCTTGGTGTTTATCTTATTGATTAAAATGAGAAATTTCTAAGTTGTAGACATTATCCCTCTGTCATATTTCTTCCCTTTTTCCTCCCAGTTATTAGTGTCTTTTAATTCCTTCCTTACCTTTTTGAGCTTTTCTATCTCATTTTCATCCTTTTTCACTGTCTGCTCCCACATGTGTACTTTATCCTGATCCTCCTTCAGTTGGTTCTTTTCAAAATCCAACTGAATGCCCAAGCGAGTCTTCTGATTCTCAAACTCCAAACTGTGTATAAAGGTAGGGGAAGAATCACTCATAATCTCATCAGCCAGAGATAACAAATATATTAAATCCAACTGCGGAAAGAAAGGGAAACCAGACCCAGGGCTCGGGGACACAGAGTTACTGATTTTCAGTCAGAACTTGCGTCATCCATCCATATGAACATGAAATGGTCCTCTGAAGCTGAGTTCCTCAGCCTAGCCCTGTGGACATGGCACAAGGCAGGGAAGATTTGGCCAAACCTTATTTATCCCCACTTTAAACACTGGAGACCCCAGCATCCTCCACGTTCCTACAAGGAGGCATAAAAGAGTCCATCTGAATCCACCAGCTATGGTAATTGCTATTTATTAAGCTTCTGTGTACTTTACATACATTATCTCTAATCCTCTAATCAACAGCTCTGCAAGTAGGCATTATTATCCTAATTTTACAAATGAGGAAACTTAGGCCAAGAGGTAGAAGATCTTGCCCAAGGCCACACAGCTAGTAAATGGCACACGTGAGACTGAAACCCAGATTTAACACCAAAATCTGGGTTCTTTCTAGTATACCACCATTGCAATATAATGTAGTGGATTAAGAAGACTGGTATCTCAACTCTGCCACTTACTAGTAGTGTGATTCAGGCAAGTTGGTTATACTCTCCAGGCCTCAGTCTCCCCATTGGGAAAATGGACGTAATAGCAGTACTTACCTTGGGGTTATTGGGAGATTTTTAAATGAGTTAATATGCATAAAGTCCTTAGAACCACACCAGGTCCGCGATAACTACTCAATCGATTTTAGTTACCATTATCACCAGGTATACTGACTGAACTCAGCTCACTTTTGCCCAAGGGCTTGAAGTACAACATCCTAACCTCTGCCCCAAGGTCCCAGAACCTCTTAAAGGGCAGAACTTGGATAGTACAAAAACATGAAGAAAATACTAGATTCCTGTTATTGTCCTCCTCTCCATCTCTTCAGAAACTCAGAGTATGCAACCAGTATACACAGGCACTGGCAAGCCAGGAAGGACTAACCTCCAACTGCCCTCTCCAACTCCCAATATGGTATGACAGATGCTGTCAGATGTCATGCTAGCAGCTTAAACCTATTAGCCACCATAATCCAAATGAAATGTAACTAACTCTATAATTTTGAGCTATGCAATTTTATGTCCAGTCTCCTAAGTCTGACTCATAAAGGCCTTTCTGTGATCTGGTCCCTGCTGACCTCTTCATCACTCCCGCCTTCTTCCTGACCCTGCTTTTATGCTCCAGACATTCAACACTACTTAGCATCCAGAACAAGGCATGCTCTCACACCTCCAAGCATGCTGTTCTCTCTGCCTGGAATTCCCTTTTTCTGTCGCTGCCTGGCTGGCTAAATCCTACTCACTCTTTAGGTCTCCAGTCATCACTCCCTGTTTTGTAAAACCTTTCCTGATTGTTCTGAACAGGTTCCTAGTTTCTATTACACTTTGCTGGGTTCCTCCCTTTTTAGACTTCTGATGCAGAGGCAAGTTAATCATATCCCACAGTTCATAACACACTTATCATCACTGCCTGGGCAAGACCCTTCCCTTGTCCCCTTTGCTTCAATAACCAATTTCCATTCCCATTACCTTTCCTACTGTGAACATGCACCACAAAGTGACATACACACATGCGTTCCTTAAAAATGCATACCCTTGTAAAATGTCATAGTTCTAAAATTTACGCAAACCTACTGTGTTATAAATTTTATTCTTTTTTCCAGTCAATACCAGGTTGATAAGTTAACGATTGCTGCCCATAAATCTAGTTCTTGCTGTGAATTCCTACACAGTATTCCAGTTTATATATTCATTTGACTTAATGCTTTTCCCTATAGTGGCCATCTACATTGCCACCAATGTCCCACTACTACAAGTTATGCCAAGATGAATAACACTGAACGTGTGTCTCTTTGGGACCCTATGACAAGACTCTCTGGGATATATACCCATAGGGAATATATATATTCACATACTACACAGGACATCTATAAACTTATTTCCACCAAACACTGTTAGACTTTCTAATTTGCATTTCTCTGATGAAGAGGTTAGAGCTCAATTACTACAGTTGTTAGCCACTTGAACTTCTCTTTCCATAAAAGGTTATCTATATTCTTTGCCACTTTTTTTTTCTTACTTTTTTCATTGGATTAGGTATCATAAGTACTTTGCCACATTTCTATTGGGTTTCTTGTCATTTTTTTTTTTTTCCTGTTGATTTGCAGTTCCTTGAAAATTTCTTCAGTATTCTGTATCTACCTTAATTACACCATCAATCACACTATCCTGATATTGATGTTTCCCCAGTACTCTAGTTTCCTGAGGAAAGAAACAGCATCTGATTCAACTCTGTGTCCTTGAGACTGCCTTGGAGTAGGACAGCAATGAGTATTTACTATATGGGCAAAGGACTTTAGCTAACTGAAGCCCAGGGTACAAGGGGTGACCTCCCTCAGCAGAGACTGTGTTGTGTTCATCTGTCTTACCTCTCCCTTGTTCCCCTTCCAATACCTAGCACAAGACAACCTGGCACAAGGTAGGTACTCAACAAAGGTTTGTTGAATGAATGAATCAACTAAAGTGAGGAAAAAAGAGATTATTTTCTTCTGGCTATTCTTTCAACCAAGAATTTTATCCCCCACCTCCCTCCACCTCACATTGCCCATTATAATGACAACAAAAACTAATATTTCTTGCTCTTAGTAGATGCTACGTAAGATGCTAAATACCTTTTAAAAAGGTTAAAAAAATAATAATAAAAAAAAAAGCCGGGCGCGGTGGCTCAAGCCTGTAATCCCAGCACTTTGGGAGGCCGAGGCGGGTGGATCACGAGGTCGAGAGATCGAGACCATCCTGGTCAACACGGTGAAACCCCGTCTCTACTAAAAATACAAAAAACTAGCTGGGCGTGGTGGCGCGTGCCTGTAATCCCAGCTACTTAGGAGGCTGAGGCAGGAGAATTGCCTGAGCCCAGGAGGCGGAGGTTGCGGTGAGCCGAGATCGCGCCATTGCACTCCAGCCTGGGTAACGAGCGAAACTCCGTCTCAAAAAAAAAAAAAAAAAAAAAGGCCAGTAACTATGGCTCACCCTGCAATCCTAGCACTTTGGGAGGCTGAGGTAGGAGGATCACTTGAGCCCAGTAGTTCAAGACCAGACTGGACAATATGGCAAAACCCCATCTCTGCAACAACAACCACCAAAAAAAAAAAAAGCGAAAAAAAAAAAATTAGCTGGGCGTGGTGGCAAGCATCTGTAGCCCCAGCTACTCAGGAGGCTGAGGTGGGAGGATCACTTGCACCTGGGAAGGTCAAGGTTGCCAATGCACGCCAGTCTTGGCAACAGAGTGAGACCCGTCTTAAAAAAAAAAAAAAAAAGAAAGAAAAAAAGGCTTTGCACGCTGGCAGTATCATAGTCAATGAGGTTTATCGGAGGCGGGATTATTGCTAATAGAAAACTTCCCAACACCCTGCAATGACGACCTGAAATACAGTTGGCATTGGGCAATTTTTGGCAGTCTCTATGGGGACTGCGGGAAAAAAAAAAAAAAAAAAAAAAAAAGATTCTTTCACCTGATACTCCCAAAAATGTCACGAGATAGGTATCATTATACCATTTTGCAGATACTGCAGCTTACAGAAGTCAAGTCACTGCCAAAGATAATGAGTTGTGAAGCTGGGGTTGGAATCCAGGAATCCAGGAATCCAGGAAATCAAGTTTAGAGCTGGCACTCTTTTTTTTTTTTTTTTTTTTGCCATTCAGACTCAACTTTTATTGAGCACCTCCTATTTTCCAGAACCAAAAACCTTACAGAATTCTGAAAGCCATCCTTTAAGGTAAGTAACAGTATCTTCTACTTAACAGACAAGAAAACTAAGAATCAGACTGATAGAACTTGCTCAACATCATAGGCAGAAACATAATTATATTGACAGCCAATTTTATGAAAACATCTATTTTTCACGTTTGTGTCATTACTACAAAGTCTTTGCTTTTACAGTTTTCTTAAAATCATGTGAATATAAACAGTATTTTTATTCATATTACCATCACTTCTCTTTCTTAAGAGAGATTCTTTGTCTTCCTAGGTCATAACCACTTATCTATAATTTCTTGCTTATAAATTTTAATAAAATACATATAAGTGGGAGAGCTGGCACTCTTAACCACTATACTATGCCACATTGCCCTCCTGATTTCTGTTCTTTAAGGCCTACCTGCATAAACTCACATAGTTCTAAGAGCCGATTCTTGCCTTATAACAGCATCTGGTTTTCCAAGGATGTCAGGCGAGAGGCTCAAGGGCATCCCAATCTCTTCTACTAATCCTCCCACCTACCGCTTTTTGGCGATTTCATTCTGCCGTTTCACCTTCTCTTCCTCAAACTCCCGGATGTTGCGTACACCAATCTCCCGACAAAACTCTTCAAACACCTCATCCTCTACCTGAGAAGAGAAGCCAGGGAGGGCACCGGACCTTTCAGTCTGTTCTGCTTCCAGTCCCAGTCCTGCCCTGACACACACGGCAGCATGGCCCACACCCTACCAACCTGGTTCATCTTCTCCTTCAAGTCTTTCATTTCCCTTTCTCGGCTCTGAATGATCCTCTTGATATCATTAATGCGAGGCCCAAAGTTGGCTAGCTCACTCTCCAGCTTGGATTTCTCCTACAGGCAATGGGTTGAGAGGACAAAGCATACCAGGCTCCTTGTAGGAAAAGCTACCTTGACCACATTGGCCCCACAGTCACGAAGGGCTAGCTCTCCACAATTGAGAGAACCTGGCTTAGCACTACTGCTCTAGTCAAGTCTCCATAATATTGTACTGGAGCCATCACATGGCTTCTTCCCTGGCATCCAGTTCAGCCAGCTTCAATCCACAGGGCTGGGCACACAGTAAACATCATTAGGTATAGGTCCCATACTTTGCTCTATAATCCCTGGGGCCAGAGTTGTTTGGGAATTCAGTTTAGATTTTTAGAGTTTAGAAAAAGGAGATTAAATGATATATACATACACACACTGCATATAACACCTCTAGGGTAGTCTGGGGAAGTACTCAATTAAAAAAAAAAAAAAAAACATTAATATACCTAGAACAGTGCCCCCCGCCCCCAAAACACATGCAGGGACTGAAATGCCCATGGCTCACTTTCAAAAATTCAAATTTCTTGAATGAGCAAATTATGCCAACAATAGCACCTAACATAAACTGAACACATAGTAGTCTTAAGCACTTTACATGTTAACTCATTCAATAATGACCCTATAAAGTAGGTATCATTTATTTATTTATTTATTTATTTAGAGACACAGTCTCGCTCTGTCACCCAGGCTGGAATGCAATGGTATGATTTTGGCTCACTGCAACCTCCACCTCCTGGGTTCCAGCAATTTTCCTGCCTCATCCTCCAAGTAGCTGAGATTACAGGCACCTGCCAACATGCCCGGCTAATTTTTTGTACTGTTAGTAAAGATAAGGTTTCACCATGTTGGCCAGGCTGGTCTCCAACTCCTGACCTCAGGTGATCCACCTGTCTCAGCCTCCCAAAGTGCTGGGATTATAGGCATGAGCCACCGCACTCAGCTGAGTAGAATTATCTCAACTCCCAATTCACAGATGAAGATGTGAAAGTTGACACTGAGAGGCGAAATTATTTGTCTAATGTCATACCCAAGGTAGAGCCAAGCTCTAAACCCCTGACTGTCTGACTCTATGCTACACTTGGCTCCCTGGCGCAGGCTGGGAGGAGACAGGGAAGTGAAACAAGTTCCCCACCCCCAGAGAAACACAGGCCAGGAATGTGTGGATGGCCTTTGGAGAACCGGGCTGAAGGCTAGGCCCCACCTGCAGATTCAGGGCTAGATGTCGTGTCTTGGTCTGTTCTAGGTCACTCTGGGAGTACTTGAGACGCATCTGCAGTCCATGGGCCTGAGACTGCACCTGACGCAGCTCTGCCTCTTTCCTTTTTGCCTTCATCTGCTCCTGAAGTGAAAAAGAAGGGCTAGGTGGTAAGGTGGTGGCCGACCTAGGCTTAGGACCCCCACTGCTAAAAACAGCACTGCCTGTGACTTACTTTCAGCTCCTCTGTCAAGCGCTCCTTCTTCTCTTTCAACTTGTCAACTGCTTTCTCATCCCAGCGCCGCGCCTTGGCCTTCAGGTCACTGGCCCCACCAGAGATCACCCCTGACTTCTGGAATAGGGTTCCATCCAGTGCCACTGTCTAAACACAGTAGGGGGAAGAGAGAAGAGGGGGAGAAGCTGAACAAATGCATCTCCAGTGTTAAGCCTGTCTGGCACCAACCTGGGCAAGGGAATCCACACCTTGTGGCGCTGGTGGCCTCCAAAGGCAATGCGGCGGGCATCCTCTACATTGTCACAGACAAGGGCATTGCCACAAGCATACTGCAAGGCCTTTTTGATGTGAGGTGGCTCATAGCGAATCACATCAATCACTAGCTTGGCCCCCTTCAGCTCCCGGAGTTTCTCATCTGTAGGCTTCACCTGTGGGGAGAAGCTCAGTCAGTGGCAGAACACAAACATGGAGTACTAGAGGAGGGGCCCTTGAACAATGGCCTGACCCAATCCCCAATAAGCCTCACCTCCAGGTAGTCAAGAGGCAAGAAGGTCTCAGGCTCCCCACGTTGCTCCTTGATATACTGAATACAGTCCCGGCCTGTCTTCTCTGAGTCCACAATAATGGCATCCATGTTCTTGCCCAAAACCTTGGTTACAGCAATCTGATACTTCTTTTGTGTGGGCTGGCATAGGTCAATGAGTCGGCCATACTGAGTAAAGTAGGAAGGGAAAACTGAAGCATGAGGCTTTTGGGAACTGGCTCAGGAATCCTAATTCCCAGTGTGGAAAGGGGGATAGACTAAAATCTAAATCATGAGGTAAATGCAATTGTATTGCCCAGTAGTAAAGATAACCTAATACCGAGCATGGTGGTTTGTGTTTGTAATCCTAGCTATTTGGGAAGTTGCAGTGGGAGGATTGCTTAAGCCCAGAAGTTAAAGACCGGCCTGGACAACATAATGAGACCCTGTCTCAAAACAAACAAACAAAAAAGGCTGGGCACAGTAGCTCACGCCTGTTAATCCCAGCACTTTGGGAGGCTGAGGCAGACGGCTCACCTGAGGTCAGGAATTCAAGATCAGCCTGGCCAACATGGTGAAACCCCGTCTCAACTAAAAACACACACAAAAAAAATTAGCCAGATGTGGTGGCACACCCCTGTAAGCCCAGCTACTCAGGAGGCTGAGGCAGAAGAATCACATGAAACCAGGAGGCGGAGGTTGCAGTGAGCCGAGATTGTGCCATGGCACTCCAGCCTGGGCAACAAGAACAAAATTACGTCTCAAGAAAAACAACAACAACAACAACAACAACAAAACAGACCACTAGTTCTGTACCTATGTAACCCTACCCTATCTGAATGGGACTCTATGGACTGAGGAATAGGCAATTGCAGACTAGATGGCTACGTGCACTCTAGACCAGCACAGTGGCCAATCCTAATGTCCCTTCCAAAGGTGGAAAAGTTTGGGTAAGAGAAGGGAGGTAAAGAAATGAGAGTTATGCAATGAGGGAAACAATATTACATTAACACCTCAAAAGAGGTTCAGAGCAAGAGATGATATTGTCTCTTAGCACAATTATCCCAGATGCCTGAAAGTGTGAAGCTATGTTTGCTGAGAATACTCCTGGTTTTGGAACCTAATGAGATTGAATAAAAGCCTGCAAACCTGAATGGCCTTGCCGTAGGAGACATACTCATATGATATCATGGACTAATTATTAATTAATGACTGAATACGATTCTATTAACATGCCAGTATCTACCTTTTTTTTTTTTTTTTTTGAGACGGAGTTTCGCTCTTGTTGCCCAGGCTGGAGTGCAATGGCGCGATCTCGGCTCACCGCAACCTCCGCCTCCCGGGCTCAGGCAATTCTCCTGCCTCAGCCTCCTAAGTAGCTAGGATTACAGGCACGCGCCACCACGCCCAGCTAGTTTTTTGTATTTTTAGTAGAGACGGGGTTTCACCATATTGACCAGGATGGTCTTGATCTCTCGACCTCGTGATCCACCCGCCTCGGCCTCCCAAAGTGCTGGGATTACAGGCTTGAGCCACCGCGCCCGGCATTTTTTTTTTGAGACGGAGTCTCACTCTGTCGCCCAAGCTGGAGTGCAGTGGCACAATCTCGGCTCACTGCAACCTCTGCCTACTGGGTTCAAGTGATTCTCCTGCCTCAGACTCCCGAATAGCTGGGATTACAAGCGCCCGCCACCATGTCTAGCTAATATTTGTATTTTTAGCAGAGACAGGGGTTTGACCATGTTGGCAGGCTGGTCTCGAACTCCTGACCTCAGGTGATCTGCCCACCTTGGCCTCCCAAAGTGCTAGGATTACAGGCATGAGCCACTGCTCCCGGCCTCTTTCTACGTTACATGATTGTTCTGATGCAAGGGATCTGTGTTTGAAGACCAGAGTGGACTGTGGTATTAGGAAATACATAATTTAGTCT